TTTTTTTTTTTTTTTTTTGAGTGCAGATGCTGTTTAATGCTACCATTCTTGTCGCTGTCCAACAGAATTCTTTGACAGTTCAGAAAGTTCTGCACAGAGGTTGACCAAGAAGCTTATATATTGAACAAACAGAGGAAAGCTACCGTTTTTAAGTACTGACACAACAGATAAATATCCTATACACTTACTACTGAAAGCTTTCTTTTATCGTACTCTGACACGTCAGCTAATTCTGTAACTTAGCCGAAATGAATATAGGCCATTACGAACTAAGTAAAACGGCTTGATAAATGACGTCGTTTAAGCATTTCAGACATTTGAAGAGGTAACAAAAAGCTTTTTAGTGCGAAAATACACCAATCATTTCTTATTCTCTTTTTTGCCTACTAAAACTTAAAACCCATTCTTGAGTAATTCACAAATAATTGGTTTTCACTTTTTCTTGACTAAATTCTTGTCAAAATTGCACAGACATTACAGATTTTTTGAAAAAAGTAGTGTATCAACTGATTTTAAAAAGTAAACTGATTAAGCAAACTGATATTAAGTAGAACAGAAAAATTTTTTTTGAGCAAATATGTATATTTTTTTAACGATACTGACAAAAGCCAATAACAGTTTTCAACTTTTTGTTCTGTTGACTTTCGGATGTCTTTTTTTATCTTGAAAACCCAAAAAAAGCGACAAAAATTTTTAACTTCGTCTGTGCCGAAAATGCACCATAATTATGAACATGTCCTCTTCAAGAACAAATGCTTTGTTTTTTTGCTCTTCCAAAGCAAATACTGTTTTGCCGAAAATGCACCATAATTATAAACCTGTCCTCTTCAAGAACAAATGCTTTGTTTTTTTGCTCTTCCAAAGCAAATACTGTTTTGCTAAAAAATGCAAATTCAACTTTTTTTTGTCATTCTGTGCAGTACTGTTGTAGTGTGTTCGTTTTTCACTGAGTTATGAACAAGCGATGAGATGGCAGATCTTTTTTTCGCTCTTGGGTACCTTCAAAATTTTCTTTTCTCCGGTATATTTCTGTGAAAAGTAGTTTTTTTTCTGTTTACCGTTTGTAACATAGGCAGTAACCAGTCTTGTTGCCCTCTGTCTAATCTAATAAAATCTCATTTTTTAAAGGAACAATTACAATTGACCTTTTTTTTTTCAAAAATTACGGCCAGAAATCGGCCAAGAAAAACAATTCGGTGTTTTTCACCAGAATTTTTCAGTAAGTGTTTTGCCGTTAAGAATAATTTATGCTGCTACTGTTCAAAAATGTCTGTTTCGTAGAAAGCTATGCTATGATTACCCATTAAACACATTCATTATTCGCTTTTGTTCTAAAAGATTCAAACAGTTTTTTTACTGGGAAATTACACGAATTCTTTCTATTAAAAGTGGTGGTTTAAATAAAAAGTTAGAATTTTATACCTTAGTTAGAAAAAATTTTTGGAGCTCCTTTAGCCTGGTAGCTCTGTCTCACTTCATCACTCCAGTGGAAAGAGCCTATGGAAAAAGTTGTACTATTTACAGCCACTCAGCGTGATGGGGCCACCAGGCTAAAAGAGAGCCAAGTTTTTTCTGAAACGTCTAAACTTTTGAGCTGCAAAGACAAAATTTGTTTAATTATGAATCTGTTCGACTGTATAAGAAGTAACTTTTAAAGACAACAACTTACGACCAAACTTCGAACATCTTCTTCTTTAAGTTTTGATTTGTTGGGGTCATAATGCTTTTTGCAAATTATTCTTCTTAAATCCTGTTGTCCAAAATCTATGTTGTCTGAAAGAACTTATTAGTGTGTCCGATCACCGAGCCTATGGAAAGAGTTATGTAAAATAATGAGTGTAAGATGGTAGTTTTGTGCGTAAAACCTACTTTTGTATTCGCAAATGAAGGGTCTCATACCATCACACTTTGAATGGAAATATTTAATCGTATCAGTTGCTTTAATGCACGCGCAGTCGTAGTTTGCTCGCTGTGACGACATTACAGATTGTGGTACTTCAGTTCCGTCAGGAAAAATCCATTTAAGTTTTTGGTAAGGGTCTTTATATATTCCAACATAATAGCAGTCATCTCTAATGTATTCTGAAATTGTGAAATTGAAGATTTGTATTACTTATTTTCACGTTCTGCAACCAAATTATAGCTTTTTCATGTAACTGTTGGGTCGAAATGCTGAGAAATCATTTGCAAAAAAGAAAGATCAAAATACCCTTCACAGAGGTCTGGTCCCGAGTCAGTTCCTTGAAAGCCAAATAACCATTTGCCATCGATTCACAAATCTTCTCTGCACTCGTCTTATTTTTGTATGTGGAATACTGCAAACAAATCGTATTTCTTTGTTTGTTCTGGTTTACGAAAAATAGCACATTGAGGAGCACTGTTAATATGGAAATAATTAGTTAAAGTTGTTTATTTAAAACTGATTACCGCTACGAGTAAACTTACGATGCGATAACACGTACTGTCACCTTTTTCCCAAGATGGATAACAAATTCTGCTTTCTAAAA